CACACACACACACACACACACACACACACACACACACACACACACACCTCATCTGCCTAGATTAGTGGCTTCTGGTAACATTTCATAATGGCCATTAAGCAAACAGTCATATATTCGGATAGAAAAGAAAGTTGTGACTAGAGTATAACAGGCTAAAGAAACAATGGTCATAGGTACTCAAGAGAAATTGGGGAGGTGGAACTGACAATAACAATAAATGCAATTACTAAAATTTAGGCAATTCATAAGATCAAGGGAACTTCCTGGGCTACAAACAGTCAAATCTAACTTGAACCTACTCTTATCCTTTGTGCACTGCTTGTACTGCTTGTATCTTCTACTATGTACAACTAGCCAGGCTCCAGAATAATGAAGGGATGCCCCAAAGCCACTCTGGTTGCATGATAAGTGCACATGAAAAAGACCAAATACCAACTGGAAAGAGAAAGACAACCACTAGTTTCTTTTAAAGTACCTTTCCTAAAGGAAAACCTTTCCTGACCCTACAAAACCTCAAGATAAATAAGATATATAAAGAGGTAGAAAGAACATTGTTAAAATACTACATAAGTTTGCCATGAGAAACACATTTGAAGGCATGGTCAATTTAAGATTCTGTTTTGTTTGAAAATGCATATTTGTTGTAAGGGTTTTATTTCAATTTTTCTTGTTCCAATAACTAAAAGCAAATCTTTCCAAAAAAAAAAAAAAAAAAAGGAAAAAAGAAAAAAAACATGGATCACTGAATGTACAAAACAGAAGCCCAAAAAGAAATACAAAGCAAGGCAGCTTGAAAAGCTACATATAAATGAGATCCTTAGTTTCATGTACAATCTTTCTCCTGTTCTATTTTGTATAGGATACTTTGTATTATTTAGGATTTGTTAAGTTCAGAATAAAATAAAATGAAGTAAAATATGGACATTTAAATGAAATTAAATGGGTTTTGTGAAATTAGAACTAAAAGAACCCCAGACAGCTATAGGCAGGCAAAGATAACCCAAGAAAACCCCTTAGTCTTCACTGAAGATTTCTGGGAGTAACCAAAGGATGCGTTTTTAATGACTAAATCTAATTACAAAGACAACTAAATCAGAAGAAGAGTTATTTAAGTGTCTTAAATACAATAAAAAGCAAATAATAAGAAACAACATCTTGACAGCCTGATGTTATAAAAACAGGACTGAAAGGATAAGTTAATTCCTTATCCAGGAACAAGAGAATGAGGGAGGATTCAGGCTTTTGTCTTTGCATTTTTTTTTGATTGATTTAATTAAAGAATAACAACTCTGGCTAACTTCACAGTGAAGTTAATCAAGAAAAAAGTTTTAATTTATTACAGCATTTCACTGATTCACAGAGGGCAAGGGATGAAAAAGTGATCCTTCCAAAAGGATGATAAACTCTGCATCATTTCAGAGAACCTATATACCAGAATGAAGACAAAAAAGAGAAGTGAAATTGTGAAGTCATTCAATCTTAAGACACAAACACTGATTCAGATTGTGAGCACCTGTGACACATGAAAATATTACTCCTTCACATTCCTAACTAGATCTCAGGTTCTCTTTAAAAAACCCATCTCACTGACTTCTTTCAGTGCTGATCTTTGTGATCCTAGAGCAATTTGGCCTACTGACCAAAAAAGGAATCAATAAGTACAAACACTATGACACAGAATCTATGATAATCTATTTTTTTCAATCCCTCAAGGTATATGCAAATCCACGCACCTAGGTGGCACAGTGGATAGAGGGCCAGGCCTGGAGTCAGTAAAATTCGTCTGCCTGAGTTCAAATCTGGCCTCAGACATTTCCTCATCTGTAAAATGAGCTAGAGAAGGAAATGTCAAACCACTACAGGATCTTTGCCAAGAAAACTCCAAATGGGTTCATGAAGAGTAGGACAAGACTAAAAAAATGACTGAACAAATATGCAAATCCTATCAACTTTTCAAATATGCGGTTTGAATTCTCCTTCAATGTTGGGGCATGCTTAGCCTTTTAAAATTTTTTAAATTAATCAAGAAGTGAATAGGATTTCAGATATTTTCTATGTATGAATGTGAAAACCTACCACTACCCAGTTTTCATAGAACCCTTCATTCTGAATTTAAGTTAGATACTATTTTACTATAGTTCTGACCAAACCAAGTTCAGTAGTTTAAGCTGTGTCCAACTCTTTGTGACCTCATGTGGAATTTTCTTGGCAAAGATACTGGGGTGGTTTGCCATTTCCTTCTCCAGTGGATTAAGGAAAACAGAATTAAGTGACTTGTCCAGGATCACACAGCTAGTGAGTGTCTGAAGCTGTATTTGAACTCAGGGCTTCCTGACTCGAGTCCCAGTGCTGTATTCCTTGAGTTTACCTAGCTGCCTCCTCTAACGAAATTAGGCTTATCTAAACACAGTCATCAAGAAGATAGGTTTATCCTCAAATGACACTTTCAGAGAATCACAGAACCAAGAGAAGCACGGAATTTGACCCTCAAGGCCCTTCTGAAATAGGGCAGCATATAATCGATCCCAAGATTCAATCTGTTTCTGGAGAAGGGAAAAAAAACAAACAAAAACAATACTAAATCTGGATCATCCATGTGAGCCCTAAAATGTGAATGAGCAGTATAAGAGGTTTAGACTACAGACAGCTATTCACAAGGGCCTCTGTAATCACAATTAGTCACTAGGATACCACTAGAGAAGCCAGACCTTCAACAGTTACATGATGCACAGGTTTTAAAAAAAAAAAGTTCTTTCAGGTAAGTATGGCATGTTCTGTTTAGAGATGAAAATTCTTTCAATATGTGGAACACAAATAGATCCACTATGGCAAACACAGCAGCAGACACTTCTTTCCAGATGTGTCACAGAGTAAGCAAAACTATCCCTGGTAAGGGGACAGTAAGGAGCAACAATTCTATACTGGGATACTTTGGATGTCTGCTGTCTAGAGCTAAGAAAAACAAAGTAGCTTTGAAGGCTGATTCCTCGTGGTAGGACCATGAACACCAAGTGTCTGTCTGAACATGCCTCACTGTAATTTTAATAACACAATTCCACTATCTGATGAGGCAACCTACTCTTTCTCTCTCTTCCATAATGGACCTTAGGAGAAAAGAAAAATACCATTTTGGTAACAAACAGCATTTAAATAAAAAAGGAAACAATTATCTTCTTCTAGCATATTTCATATAGGGTGAGGACTGCTGAGGACTAATTATCTCAATATTTACTGTGGAAGCCTAGTTCAGCAAGACACCTCCTTCCCTTTTACACAACCCCATAAAAGTCCCTTTTTCATTAAACATTCTCTAACCAACCAAGATACCTTAAAAATAGTCATTGATGGATCTAACACCGAAGATAAGAAAAAAACCTTTACATAATCATTATCCATTACTAAATTGAAAAAAAAACAAAACACTTCACTGTTTTTCAATTCCAATTTAAAATATGCAACCAAAGAGTAAAGAACCAATACTTTCTGTATAGTACCTAGGACATCGAGTACACACAACAAATAGCACTATTAATAGAAGTAATATATTCCACACAGTAGCAAGAACATAGATCACCACGTTTGAAATAATAACAACGAAAGTGTGTGCTTATCTAGTGAGTAACTTTAAAATGATTTGCAAATATATAGTCCTTCACAGGCATATAAAAATTATACACCGCTTTGTTTTTAAAAAGAGTTTTCAGCTACTTCCTTCTCTCTATTCCCATGGGACATCTGACTGATTTATAGTCAGCAAAGTCACTCACATTCCTCCTATGGTAACAGTAGCACAGGTACGCTCTGAAAAGGCTGGCACAGTCTCAGTGGCTGCACTGGCTGGTCTGATATAATCCACAGTCACATTGACCTGAAATGAAAGAAAAAAAGAGTTAGGCCTAAATAAGCCTAATGAAATGACTTTTGAATATCCATTTATCCCCCAAATAATAAGGGGAATATGATAATTCCATTTGATTATAACCTCATAGATCTGAGCAAAAAATCTCAGATGGTCCAACACTCTCATTTTATAAATGAAACCAAAGTCCAAGGGAAATGACTTGTCTTGCCTAAATCAAACAGGTAAGCGGAAAACCAGGAGGACAACAGAATACTTTCTACCGTGCTACTCTGACTTTAAAAATATAAAATCTCTATAACCAGAGGCCTAGTCTGACAGTTATGTGGTAATCAGTTTGAAAACAAAGGCAAACAGAACATTTAACGTTGAAACATAACAATTTTACATATGCAAAGTTATAAATCCTAAAGACCAATGGCCAACCAAAAAGGTTATAGGGCTCTGACCAACAAGTGGCTTAAGTCTTTAAGTTCAATGTTGCTGGGAATGACCTACAGAAAAAAGCCAAGATATTAATGCAAGGCATTTTGCTGAAACAATGAGGACTAGACCTAAAGTACTTTTAGCCTCTCAGCTCAGGTAGTCAATCCCTAAGGTTCATAAGTGGTCCACTGTCACACCTATAAAATGTAGGGGTTAGAACAGTAGGTGTGACTAAGAACTGAAACTCTGGAATGTGTTTTTATGTATTCACGCACATATGTATGTGTACATGAAAATATGAGATTTCAAGTAAATATAAACATTTCTATTAACACATATACATACATGAGATATTTCCATACACATACTTTTGACTTCTTGTTAAATAACTCATATAATTTAAAGAAAACATACCTAATTATGTGTACTGACTACAAAAAGATGTGATTTTATGGAGGCATATAAATGGATAAGTGCTAAACAAGCAAAAATCTCATATGAATGAATGTGTTTATGTTTGAGTATTTCCTATTTAATAGAGACCTTCATTTGATATCAATACAGAGGTATGTTCTTGCAGTTACCGCGTGGTGTGTCTGTGTTGGGGGGAGGGAAGGAATTTTTATACAATCAGAATTCACAGATGACTTAAGTCATTCATGTGAACTATAAAACCCCTTCTCCCAATACATTTTCTCTCTTATCTTTAATATTTTGTTCCCATCCTATCCCTGTATGTACAATCCAGTAGGCTACTGAATTCCAAATTCTCATTTTATTGGAATTGTTAGGATATCTTGTCTGAACACTGTAATACAGGCAGATACATATCCATCTCTCTTTCTTTTCAGGCAGGAGAGCATTTGTTCCAGAAGATTTGCCGTTGTTCACTCGTTTCAGTTGTGTTGGACTCTGCATGACTCCATTTGGGATTTTCTTGGCAAAGATACTGCAATAGTTTGTCATTTCCTTCTCCAGCTCACTTTACAGATGAGGAAACTGAGGCAAATAGAGTTAAGTGACTTGTTCAGGGTCACACACCTAGTAAGTGTCAGAAACCAGCTTTGAACACCAGGAGAGGAATCTTCCTGATCCCAGGTCCCTCCATTCTATCCACTGAGCCACCTAGCTGCCAGAAGATTAGCAAGCACCATTTACACCCCTCCCACATTCCATTCCACAACCCAAAAAGGTTATATCTTCACCTAATCCGAAACGGCATAGAGGGAGGAGAGAACTCATATCCCATTTTGGTTCTTTTGTTAAGACAAATGTTCAACCCACTACAGAAGCATAAAATGTTAGAGCTACTCCAACTCATATCTTAATAAAAAGAATTTTCTCTAAAACAATGTGACAAGTAGTCAGTATTCTCTGCTTGAAGACCTCCAACGAGGGGAATTCCGGGCTTCAGGGTCTACTCCACTTTGGGATAGCTCTAGTTGTAAGGAATGTTTTCCTGATCTCTGCACCTTCTACCCACTGCTCCTGATTCAACCCTCTGAAGCAAAACAGTCCAAGTCTAATACTATTTCTTCTTCTTCTTCTTCTTTTTGGCTAGGCAATGGGGTTAAGTGACTCGCCCAGGGTCACACAGCTAGTAAGTGTCAAGTGTCTGAGGCCAGATTTGAACTCAGGAACTCCTGACTACAGGGTTGCTGTTCTATATACTGCGCCACCTAGTGCCCACTGAGGTATTTTTTAAAAAAGTTATATGGTACAGGGCTATAGTAGGCTACCACAAAACTTGTGCAATGATCCAGGTTTGAGCAGATCTTACAATAGACAGAAGTTCTTAGGCTATGGAACATACAGTATTGTTATGCCATGTAAGAATTAGGAGATTCTGCTTATCTAGAACACTCCTTTGTTTCATGCTTAATGGAATATGGACCACTGGTGAGGTAGTCCTTGGAATTTCCAGGACCCACCAAGAAGGCCCTATGATCTCCATGACCTGGTGGTATTGGCTGAACTCCATCTGCTGTCACTCTGGCATTTGCTCGCATTGGGGTAAAAGGGGTCCATGGCAAAGTCTAGATGCTCTACCACAACTGTGTCAATGCATATCATTGCCCTCTGTTTGAGAGTTGTATTATTGCAAGCCAAATATATCTACTTTCTAACCCTTTTGCATATGTGCATCAGGTCAGTCATTTACAACACTCTCAAATCGGAGCTTAGGATAGCTGCTAGTAGTCTAATATGGCAATGGCCAGGCACAATCCACTGCAACTTGGAAGGAGGTACATGAGCCTGTGTACCCCTTTCCATGCTGACAATGAACCATTAATTACTACTTCTTGGATTTGGTCAATCAACCAGTTTCAAATCCATCTAATGGTACTACCATCCATTCTGCTTTGTTGGTCTTTTATACAAGAATAGTAAGAAAAGCCTACCTCAAAATCCTAAAATCCAAGTAAACTGGATGCACTGCATTCTCATGACCGACCAATTTAGTAACTGTCAGAAAGAGGTGGTCGGGTTTGTCTATCACGAGTTGTTCTTGATGAAGTTATTTGGGTTCTCTATGATCACCACTTCCTTTTCTATGTGTCACTGTCTCTTTAAGAAATATATTCTAGAATTCTGACAGAAATCTAACTCAAGGTCCTACTTCTAATTTGTAGACTTTTTCTCTTCCCTTTTTGAATAAAGAATAGCATTTTTGCTTGCCTATTGAATTCCTGAATAGGCCTTACTGTAAAAACCTTACAAATATGCATGTGTACCAAGAGCTATAAGGCTATGTAGGTCAAAGAGGGCCCTATATGTATACAGTATGATACTCCATAACCATCCTGCCCTCCTCAGCCTACTCAAACAATTGTAATGACAAAAGACCCTAAGCCAAGGTGAAAGACAGCACATAGTCTCCCACATGTGAAAACACTAAAAAGTTCAAAATGGAGTCTGCACAGCAGAGATAATACCTGAGGCAGCAGAAACCCTCTCCACCAGTATCAAAGCACAAAACTGAGTCTTTGGATATGCTGCTCACTGCCCTAAAGATCATGCTTAATATGGGTATACGCTATCAGCACTGGACATACTTCACAGACAAAAAGGAATGTTTCTGGACATGCTGCGTACTGCCCTATGGATATACCTGACATGGGTATGGGCTGCCAACCTTGGACATACCTCATAGGCAAAAATGGAATGTGTCTCTTAGAAGACAGAGATCACCAAGTAGCCACATTCATATGCTCTCTATTCATTTCTGGACCTGATTTGAATAATGGTCACCAAAGCTCCCATATGCCTATATACAGTTTCATTTCTGTGCTAAAAGGGACTTTTTCACTGAGGCCCAGAATTCAGATATGTGAAAGGACAGATCACGCACATTCACCTTAGCAAATACCAAGTATGAGTGTTTCTGTGAAGTGTAAAAAACCTCTTGACATCCCAGTGAAGCCTTAAATGATGCTATGTGTAGAGTCAGGTGGTAAGGCAGTCACTATAAAATATAATGTATATTAAATATCTCATAAGTATGTATATTTTTAGAGGTAAGTAGGGTACAAATCCTAAATAAATATGAAAACATATTTATAAGGAAATAAGACTGTGATTCACATTAAAAAATATCTAAGCAAGGTACATACATGTCTCTAGAAACCCAGACAGTGAATGGAGCTGCAAATTCTTTATTGCTTGGTCACTGTCATGCCTAAAAAAACCACTGACAAGAAGATACATATTTTACTAAGTGACTAGAAAACATCCCTGAATACTTAAGAACAGAGCATCCACTTTTCAATGCACTGCCTCAGTGAATTGATCAAGTCAAAGGGGACAAGATGCTCAGATGTCAAATCAGTCACACTGCAGGTGAACATCATCACAATCCTTTCAAACTGTTGACTCCTCAAAAGCTCCTTAAATCAAGTCAAAAAGGGATGGCTGCCTCCGAATTCTTCCTGTCGGAACACTCATTCAAACACCAGGTCTAAAAATCATATTTTAGGAACAACAAAAGAGAGCATTGTCAAAGAGGGAGTCACTAAAGGGTAGAAGTTAATTTTTTTCTGCTCATAATATTGTCATAAGACAAAAGAGAAGGAAAACATATCAAGATGACTCCAAAGGGTAAATTGGGAGACTGAAATGACAACCAAGACCTAATAACTCCATTGAGGCTCAGAATGAAGGAAAAACTGAGAACCCTGACCAGACAAGGCTGAGTAGAACAGGGAGGTAGGATGAGAAGCTATTTCCCAAAAGGACAAAGTAACAACTAAACACCATCTCCACTGGTAGGTTACAGTCATATTCAGCAAAACAGTGTTTACAAGGAAAGGGGAGTACAGGAGGATGGTAGGCCACATTTACCCTTCAAATTGGTTCCCAAAGAGTTGGGTAGGAGGTAGAGATGAAAAAAATCTTTAGAAAGCCATACAAAAAATGATTGATAGTATCTGGGCTATGTTTTTGATTCGGCAAGTCAATTGATTGTTCTCTTTGTATTTCTGTTTCCCCCACGTGCTGTTATTAAATTAACTGCTTAGGAGGCTAGGGAAAAGGAAGGAGGGGCATTCCAAAAGAAACTTCAGAGTAAGTCAGTTCAGGGGATC